ACGTTAACAGTACAACGAGCTGTGTACAAGGTTATTACTGATATCAACGTAAACAGTTTAAACAGTTGTGTATAAGGTTATTATTGATATCAGCGTAAACAGTACAAACAGCTGTGTACAAGGTTATTACTGATATCAACGATAACAGTACATATAGCTGTGTACAAGATTATTACTGATACCAACGTTAACAGTACAAACAGCTGTGTACATGGTTATTATTGATATCAACGTTAACAGGACAAACAGCTGTGTATAAGGTTATTATTGATATCAGCGTAAACAGTACAAACAGCTGTGTACAAGGTTATTACTGATATCAACGTTAACAGTACATAAAGCTGTGTACATGGTTAATACTGATATTAACGTTAGCAGTACAAACAGCTGTGTACATGGTTATTATTGGTATCATCGTTAACAGTACATACAGCTGTGTACATGGTTATTATTGATATCAACGTTAACAGTACAGCAGCAGTGTACATGGTTATTACTGATATCAACGTTAACAGTACATAAAGCTGTGTACATGGTTATTACTGATATCAACGTTAACAGTACAAACAGCTGTTTACATGGTTATTACTAATATCAACTTTAACAGTACATACAGCTGTGTACATGGCTATTACTGATATGAACGTTAACAGTACAAACAGCTGTGTACATGGTTATTATTGGTATCAACGTTAACAGTACATACAGCTGTGTACGTGGTTATTACTGATATCAACGTTAACAGTACATAAAGCTGTGTACATGGTTATTACTGATATTAACGTTAGCAGTACAAACAGCTGTGTGCATGGTTATTACTGATATTAACGTTAACAGTACATATAGCAGTGTACATGATTATTACTGATATCAACGTTAACAGTACAAACAGCTGTGTACATGGTTATTACTGATATCAACGTTAACAGTACATACAGCTGTGTACATGGTTATTACTGATATCAACGTTAACGGTACAAAAAGCTGTGTATAAGGTTATTACTTCTATCAACGTTAACAGTACATACAGCTGTGTACATGGTTATTACTGATATCAACGTTAACAGTAAATACAGCTGTGTACATGGTTATTATTGATATCAACGTTAACAGGACAAACAGCTGTGTCATGGTCATTACTGATATCAACGTTAAAAGTACAAACAGCCGTGTACATGGTTATTATTGATATCAACGTTAACAGTCTGTGTATAAGGTTATTACTTCTATCAACGTTAACAGTACATACAGCTGTGTACATGGTTATTACTGATATCAAAGTTAACAGTACATACAGCTGTGTACATGGTTATTACTGATATCAAAGTTAACAGTACATACAGCTGTGTACATGGTTATTACTGATATCAAAGTTAACAGTACATACAGCTGTGTACATGGTTATTACTGATATCAAAGTTAACAGTACATACAGCTGTGTACATGGTTATTATTGATACCAACGTTAACAGTACAAACAACTGTGTACAAGGTTATTATTGATATCAACGTTAACAGTACATACATCTGGTAACTTGGTTATTATTGATATCAACGTTAACAGTACAAACAGCTGTGTACATGGTTACTACTGATATCAACGTTAACAGTACATACAGCTGTATACATGGTTATTACTGATATCAACGTTAACAGTACATTAAACTGTGTACATGGTTATTACTGATATCAACGTTAACAGTGCATACAGCTGTGTACATGGTTATTACTGATATCATCGTTAACAGTACAAACAGCTGTGTACATGCTTATTACTGATATCAACGTTAACAGTACAAACAGCTGTGTACATGCTTATTACTGATATCAACGTTAGCTGGTAACTTGGTTATTACTGATATCAACGTTAACAGTACATACAGCTGGGAACTTGGTTATTATTGATATCAACGTTAACAGTACAAACAGCTGTGAACATGCTTATTACTGATATCAACGTTAGCTGGTAACTTGGTTATTACTGATATCAACGTTAACAGTAAATAAAGCTGTGTGCATGGTTATTACTGATATCAACGTTAACAGTAAATAAAGCTGTGTGCATGGTTATTACTGATATCAACGTTAACAGTACATTAAACTGTGTACATGGTTATTACTGATATCAACGGTAACAGTACAAACAGCTGTGTACATGCTTATTACTGATCTCAACGTTAGCTGGTAACTTGGTTATTACTGATATCAACGTTAACAGTACATACAGCTGTGTACATATGGTTATTATTGATATCAACGTTAACAGGACATACACTGTGTACATGGTTATTATTGATATCAACGTTAACAGGACATACAGCTGGTAACTTGGTTATTATTGATCACAACGTTAACAGTACAAACAGCTGTGTACAAGGTTATTACTGATATCAACGTTAACAGTAAAAACAGCTTTGTACATGATTATTACATGGCTATTACTGATATCAACGTTAACAGTACAAACAGCTGTCTGCATGGTTATTACTGATATCAATGTTAAGAGTACATACAGCTGTGTGCATGGTTATTACTGATATCAACGTTAACAGTAAAAACAGCTTTGTACATGATTATTACATGGCTATTACTGATATCAACGTTAACAGTACAAACAGTTACTGATATCAACGTTAACAGTACATACAGCTGTGTACATATGGTTATTATTGATATCAACGTTAACAGGACATACACAGCTGTGTACATGGTTATTACTGATATCAACGGTAACAGTACAAACAGCTGTGTACATGCTTATTACTGATATCAACGTTAACAGTACAAACAGCTGTGTACATGGTTATTACTGATATCATCGTTAACAGTACAAACAGCTGTGTACATGCTTATTACTGATCTCAACGTTAGCTGGTAACTTGGTTATTACTGATACCAACGTTAACAGTACATACAGCTGTGTACATAGCTATTACTGATATCAACGATAACAGTACAAACAGCTGTGTACATGGTTATTACTGATATCAACGGTAACAGTACAAACAGCTGTGTACATGCTTATTACTGATATCAACGTTAACAGTACATTAAACTGTGTACATGGTTATTACTGATATCAACTTTAACAGTATATACAGCTGTGTACATGTTTATTATTGATCCCAACGTTAACAGTACAAACAACTGTGTACAGGTTATTATTGATACCAACGTTAACAGTATAAAAACTGTGTACAAGGTTATTATTGATATCAACGTTAACAGTACATACAGCTGGTAACTTGGTTATTATTGATATCAACGTTAACAGTACAAACAGCTGTCTACATGGTTATTACTGATATCAATGTTAAGAGTACATACAGCTGTGTGCATGGTTATTATTGATATCAACGTTAACAGTACATACAGCTGTGTACATGGTTATTATTGATATCAACGTTAACAGGACATACAGCTGGTAACCTGGTTATTATTGATATCAACGTTAACAGTACAAACAGCTGTGTACATGGTTATTACTGATATCAACGTTAACAGTACATACAGCTGTGTACATAGCTATTACTGATATCAACGATAACAGTACAAACAGCTGTGTACATGGTTATTACTGATATCAACGTTAACAGTACAAACAGCTGGTAACTTGGTTATTACTGATGTCAACGTTAACAGTACATACAGCTGTGTACATGGTTATTATTGATATCAACGTTAACAGTACATACAGCTGTTCACATGGTTATTATTGATATCCACGTTAACAGGATATACAGCTGGTAACTTGGTTATTATTGATATCAACGTTAATAGTACATACAGCGGGTAACTTGGTTATTATTGATATCAACGTTAACAGTACATACAGCTGTTCACATGGTTATTATTGATATCCACGTTAACAGGACATACAGCTGGTAACTTGGTTATTATTGATATCAACGTTAACAGTACATACAGCTGTTCACATGGTTATTATTGATATCCACGTTAACAGGACATACAGATGTGTACATGGTTATTACTGATATCAACGTTAACAGTACAAACAGCTGGGTACATGGATATTACTGATATCAACGTTAACAGTACAAACAGCTGGTAACTTGGTTATTATTGATATCAATGTTAACAGTACATACAGCTGTGTACATGGTTATTATTGATATCAACGTTAACAGTACATACAGCTGTGTACATGGTTATTACTGATATTAACGTTAACAGTACTGATATCAACGTTAACAGTACCCCCCGCTGGTAACTTGGTTATTATTGATATCAACTTTAACAGTACATACAGCTGTTCACATGGTTATTATTGATATCCACGTTAACAGGACATACAGCTGGTAACTTGGTTATTATTGCTAACAACGTTAACAGTACAAACAGCTGGGTACATGGATATTATTGATATCAACGTTAACAGTACATAAAGCTGTGTACATGGTTATTATTGATAGTAACGTTAACAGTACATATAGCTGTGTACATGGTTATTACTGATATTAACGTTAACAGTATAATAAAGCTGTGTGCATGGTTATTACTGATATCAACGTTAACAGTACATACAGCTGTGTACATGGTTATTATTGATATCAACGTTAACAGTACATACAGCTGTGTACATGGTTATTACTGATATCAACGTTAACAGTACATACAGCTGTGTACATGGTTATTATTGATATCAACGGTAACAGTACAAATAGCTGTGTACATGGTTATTACTGATATCAACGTTAACAGTACCGATCAGAATTTTCATGGTTATAAGGGTTTAATATTCCCTTGCGGAATTCTAGTATTTAACAACATATGACTTTAAATTCATATAGATTTTTTGTTATGTACGAACGTGGATACTAGATTATTTGTTTTTGATTTGATTAAATATAGATTTCGTGACGATGGCAAGGGTATGGATGATGGACCTGTTATCGTAAAGGTTTATGTTTTGGCGTTCATTTTGTTTGATCAGGGATGAAATCATATAAGTTAAGGAGTAAATAAAAAATCGTTCTTACTTTTTATATCGTAAAAGTCACCATAAAGATGAGCGGAATAATCTCGTTCTCGCCACCACTGCATTCTCTGTGTCATTTCTAAACGGAAAGAATTTGTGTGGATAAAATAATCCTTGTCTCGTGAAAGTATATAAGCATTTCATTCGTTTAACATCCTGATATTGTGTTTATGAATAAACATTGGGACATCTCTCACACGAAAATGTATTGTGAAGACTGACCAATGAGCGCTACGTGATGTCTATAATTATTAACTTTATACAAATTAGAACAAAACTTGAAAACATAACTATCATTTATCAATTAAGTTCGAACTATGAAAAATGCTTTCAAAAAAATAAGTTGTTAGTTTCTTCATTCTTATTCGTAATTATTGGGGTATTTGAAAGGGTTTTCTCTTTCTTTTTTTTAATAAAAGTTCTAATACCCTTGAGTTCTCGTGTTGAGTGTTGGTGTGAGTCATATTGGTTTCCCATCAGCATCTGTCAAATTAGTGTAAATTAAGAAACAACATTAAACATAAATGTAAATTATAAACATATTGTGAATGTTTCTGTTTATATAAAGTTACTTTAGGAACACTAATTATGAAGGAAGAAAGTTTGTGCAGCACTGTCCCGTCTTTAATTCACGATACATCAATCGATGGTCAACAGTCTGATTCCCGTGACATAATCAAAATAATGTTGATGATATAAAAACCAGGATCACAGTGTGTGTATTAAGGTGTAAATTGAACAAATATTACAAAAGAGAGAGAGTAAAATTACGACAGGTTGTTTACAATTTTACCTTCGGGATGTTATATGACATAACGAAACAAAGTATAACCATAATGTTAAAAGGGTATGCATCAAACATATATCAAACCTCATTTTATAGTTGCTTATGATTAATTACAAAAAAAAAATGCAAACAATGTAACATATTGAAAATGATGCAGAGATGAATAGATGAAATAGTGCAGTAATGAAAAGAATGTAATATCAAATATAATGCAGCATTGTAATTAATGCACTATTGGAAATAATGCAGCATTGACAATAATGCAGCATTGTAATTAATGCACTATTGGAAATAATGCGGTATTGACAATAATGCAGCATTGTAATTAATTAATTCACTATTGGAAATAATGCAGCATTGACAATAATGCAGCATTATAATTAATGCACTATTGGAAATAATGCAGCATTGACAATAATGCAGCATTATAATTAATGCACTATTGGAAATAATGCAGCATTGACAATAATGCAGTTATCTTAATCATATTTAACAGTTCTCTATATTTAGAGTCAGCGGGAAACAAAGAAATGAAATGTATCTATAATTAGACATGTCGCAATCAATCAGCTTTGAAATAAGGAAGATATCAGTGGTCATACGACTGAATGTTAGCGTTAAAAACTTGAAAAATGTGCACGGGTCTATAAAACTGTCAAAATATCTTACCTCGAAGAAGATATTCTGAATTCCAAACCCATCGTTGATACAACATAAGCGGTGTCCATTCGAGCCAGAAACGAATTCATATAAAACGTTTTTCTCCACACCAATCACATCGTTGAAATAAGAACACGTGAGACATATTCTGTCTGGTAATGTATCCGCTGCTGATTGTTGGTGAGCCGTTTGGGTTTTGTCCGGTAGATGACGGTTACTGTCATTGATCCGGTGTGCTATATACACACATGGTAGTGCTACAACCAACACAAGATTAGTCACAAACGACACTTTGATTGCTAGTTTTAACCGATTATAACATTTACTTTTTGTAACGTCCTCCATTGCTCAAAACGGTATAGCTACCTGTCTATTATAACTCATATCCATTCCGTAAACGTCGTTAGTTATACCCACCACGAATAACATAGAATGGCGACTGTCCGGAATTGTGGGTTAAACCCAACGCTAAAAATAGATTTGATTCTGGAAAAACCGACGAATATTGATTCGTGGAAACCTGTACATGTTTTAAACGCAGATTAAGTCGTGTCAGTTAGTGATAACAAAGAACTGGGATTGTCAAACAGTTTGTGAACAGAGAACTATTTACAATCCGGGTTACTCACACAGAAATAAACGTTCACGCTGTCATGCATTTACCTTTTATTTTTGCTAACTCAAGAGATTGGAAAATGTACCACGTGAAAGAAGCATTCGAGGGAAATCAATTATAAAATGAAACAATGTATCAAAATCAACCAAATTAAAAGTACATATTAAGATAGTGAGCAACCTATTGATGATATCTGCTAATTTTATATGTTCTTCGTTTATTACTTTACATTTGAACCATCGCTCATTACTAAATAAGGCATATCCCGTTTGAAAAGCGGTGTATCAACCAAAATCTAAAATTAAAGTTTTTCTGTTCATTAACGTATAAAACCTTGGCATACATAAACGATATTTTATGAATTTATGTTTTAAAACAGATTTGTGAAACGAGTCTTTATTTTATCAGCAAGCCTCTTGCGGTCTAAAATGAAAAAAACGTTACCATACTCATTCATTTACATGAATGGTAACTCACCCATTTGTTTATCATAACGTTTTGAGAATATTACTAAACTCTAATTTTTCAGTCATTTTTGAATTTTTAAAAACTCCAATGTTAGCTCTTCATCCTTCATCTCTATTGTAACGTCATTATATAATTTGATTTATGAAATTTCACATGTCTGTCGTCAACAAAAAATAGATAGTTTAATATCGTAGTAAATTATATATAGAATATAATCTCGTAATAACTATATATATAGTATCGTAATAAATTATACGAGTTAATTCACGAGTAAAAAATCGTGATGAATTATTTTAGAATATAATCTCGTAATAAATTCTATATAAAATATATTATCTCTGTTTAGTGAATAAACATTTAATTAGCTTGTAGCATATCAATTTACCATTATTACTTATTAAAAAAAATAAACAACCTAATACAGCGTCTGTGTAAACCTCGACATCTCGTCTCACACCAAACAGAACATATATGTTGTTTAAACTATTTAATAATGAAATTGAAAAAGGGGAAACAGTTGTATCTACTTCCAATGAGAGAGTTGTCAAATTGTGGAGAAGACACTAGACACTCAATAAATCTCGTGTCTTTATACAATTTGAAAATTAACTCGATTATACTGTATCAACTTGATAACCAATCGTCACTGGATAAATCTCGTGGCTTGATACAATTTGAAAATTAACTCGATTATATAAACATGATAACCAATCATCACTCGATAAATCTCATGTCTTTATGCAGTTTGAAAATTAACTCGATTATATAAACATGATAACCACTCATCACTAGATAAATCTCGTGTCTTTATACAATTTGAAAATTCACTCGTTTATATAAACATGATAACCAATCATCACTCGATAAATCTCGTGTCTTTATACTTTTTGAAAATTAACTCGATTATACTGTATCAACTTGATAACCAATCGTCACTCGATAAATCTCGTGGCTTGATACAATTTAAAAAATAACTCGATTATATAAACATGATAAATAATCATCACTCGATAAATATCGTGTTTTCATACAATTTGCAAATTAACTCGATTATATAAACATGATAACCAATCATCAAATCTCGTGTCTTTATACAATTTGTAAATTAACTCGATTATAAAAACATGATAACCAATCATCACTCGATAAATCTCGTGTCTTCATACAATTTGAAAAAAACCCACTTGATTATATAAACATGATAACCAATCATCACTCGATAAATCTCGTGTCATGTTACAATTTGAAGATAAACTCGAATATATAAACATGATAACCAATCATCACTAGATAAAAATATCGTGTCTTTATATAATTTGAAAATAAACTCGTTTATATAAACATGATAACCAATTGTCATTCGATAAATCTCGTGTGAATTTGAAAATTAACGCGAGTTATTCAGTGCTGGTGATGACAATAATTCCGATAGGGTACATACCCGAAAGGGCCTCATGTAAGTTTGTCAGCAATATAAATGTGTGCTATAGGACCATAACAATATTTGCTAAAATATTCATTATTTATGTTTACATTTTGATGGAAGGATGCAGAGCAAATGTAAATATACATGCTCATCAATCGTAACTCGTTCAAGAACCTCCATGACTTATATTGAGAATTTTGATGTCGTTTAATGAGCATTGTGTTCAATTGTTAAGTTCTTATTCCAATTTGAACATGCCAAAAAAGTTGTTGTATGGTGAGGACGCATCGATATATTTTTCAGTTGTATATTCCCTTAGAGACATTGAGAAAGCTTTAACATAGACAGTGTCTGATTTGTTTAAACTCACGACACCGCTCAAGTATGTTGTTTGTCGTACAGACATATATTCACTTCCAAGTGTTGACTGAAATATTTTCTCTCCATTTTCACTTTGCAGAGAATTATTGTTTTTCATAATTACGTGTCGTATTGTCTGACTGTAGTTAATGGTAGCTTCATCACGGAAATCAAATGTGAACATCGAATAAACTAAATATTTTCCCGCACCAGCTACGTCAGGGACAGTCAGTTTCTTCCAGTCGTCAGTGGAGAGTGTTAGGTTTCGTACGAATGACGTGCTGTGTCTTGTGGTGGTCCATATTAACTCTATAGATAAAAACAAAAAAGAAACCCTTACTGTCGCGTCCATACAAAAGGAGCAAGTGGAAATCTAAGACGACAACACAACACAAATCAAGGTAACTTCAATTATCATCATAATAAAAACCACCAAATAAAAAAATAAAAAAGAGGCAAAATGTATTACAGCTGAGTGGATAACATCCATTGGATACTAAATAATAACAATAGGGATAAGAAAAAGACGAAAGTAACGCTTGGCATACAGGTGTAAGTATAACAGCGTAAAACCCAGGTATATAGCAATGACATTGTGTAATCATTTGTGTTAATCTGGAATGAATTATTTGTACTGATACTATGAAAGAGATCTTACAATTTCAATAGATTTTAATTCGTTTAAAGATCCTGCCGTATCACTTTCTGAATTTTTAATATTTCCTAGAACTGCAATTAACCAAGCAGTGTTTGTTTGTATTATTGTATAAAACATGTATTTTCATGTAAAATGTATTTGTTTGAGGACAGAATGTGACGTGTTTTCGTCGAAATTGTGTATATTGGTTACCATTTCTATGATTACAATCTTGCTTTAGTAGTTGCGCTTGTATTTTGTAAACGAATATTTGCACATCAATGTATTTAGTGATTACAAATTGACAGATTCTGTTGAAATGTAAAAGCAGTGCAATTATGACCTGACAAACATCAATATTTAATCTGTTGATGGGACGCAAACTTTGAGATACTGTTACGTTCTTAATATAAAAGATATCCTATTCCTTCCTGAGCCTATCAATATTATATTGGTCATGTCAACAACATAGGTTTACACTTTGTGTTTACTTTCAACGATTGGCAGTTTTTGAAAGCTAGCCGATCATTACACAAATATAAGACATGGGGCCTTACACTGGCTTCCCTTTTCATGTTAACATGAAGATTATAGCTGTAAAAGCATAATCAAAGAAACAATTAAAATACATACTATTATTATTCGGAAGATGGTCAGCGTACAAATGTGCAGCGTAGTTGCGTTCGGTCCACCATGTTAGTTTCCGGGTGGAGGCTATAAGGAAACAGTGGCATACAATATTTTTTTTACCTTTTACATTAATGCACAAAAATCATTTTTTAAGTATTTACACATAAACGTTTCAACACAAGACGATGTTAATATGATGAAGCTTTTTTTTCTATTAATGCTAATGTTAGTGTAGGCAAATTCGCCATGCACCCAAATTCGCCACCCTGTGGCGAAAATGTCATATGACGTCATAATACATAAGATGTGACGTAGATAACGTCACCAAAGTCAACACAGTTAAAGCCTTCAAATATTTTGACAGGAAGAGGAATATGAAGGGAAAAGTTATATTCCTAACTCAAACAGTTATGAAATATCTTGTAACATACCCAAACTTAAATATTTGGTCTGTGCGCCGGATATCTCGTTATCTAAACTCATTAATCTAAGGCCTGTTGGTTGAGATTTAGCGTAAATGCACTACATACAAATTTGAAATACCCATATATCAACGCTAGTTGTAGATTTATGGTCGACTGAACTGTCAATGCAAGTAAAAAAAAATTCTACAAGTGTATTTTGGTATATACTATGTACTGACGACCCAATGATTGTTTATGGAAATGACGCTCGGAAAGATTTGATAACTCATTTTCCATTTTCATGCAATGTGTATTTAGAAAATAATCAACCAGTTTTTTTTTTAAAAGTATTGTTTGCGTCTAACATTCAGCCATCTTACAACACTTTAATTAAAATACCGTCTATTTTCTAGATTTATATCTGAAAAGTATTAGTTGGCGGCCTGAAAGTAACGCTGAACAATCGCATGATGATTGTACGTAGAGACCGACAACTCACTAGAGTTTTAACGTTGTTACCGAAGATTGATTTGTACATAAAAAAAGTAAGTACGATCGGAGATATACATGTGACAAATTCTTCAAAAGTCGAGGAAAGGACGATCTTTGAAAAACCCTGGACTTTCTCATCCGGACTCGATGAAAAATGATAATTTTGGGAACCGATTTTGATGTAAAGTTTGTTCAGGACTGAGTCTTCATTGCGATACATGTGAATTCACCTTATCTCAGCCGATCCCAGCCATCTTACAAAACAGCAATTTTCAAGTTACCGAAAACTAAGTATCACAACTAAGAAAAGCCATTTATTACAATGTTAAATATTGTTACACACCCATTTGAAGCTGTCCGTATCAGTACAGCTTGTGTAACATAAACAATCAAAATTATACATTTAAACACTTATATAACTTTCAAATAAATGAAAGGTTTGAAGGTGAAACTGCCTGCACCTTTGAGCAAAACCTTGGAAGGCCTGATGACGTCACAAATGTTGCTGCGTGACGTCATTCAGACGTTTTTACAACAATGTTTAACCATAGGAATCTCAGTAAAATCTTCTGCTGTACTGGTGCTCGTCGGCATTTTTGATTAATGCTTATTTGGACGAGTTATTTACTGAAACCCTCACTAATGTAACGAATTTGCATGCACTAACGTTATAAATGGTGGGATATGTTCGGAAATAAAACATAAACATATCTTAATACTATATAATGTCAATAGGTATTACACATTTAATTGGCTTGATATTTAAATTCCTCATTTATTCTTAGATAGAAGTTTTGTTAAATTCGTAAATAACACTTGAATTCCCAAACTTACGTCCTTCATAGATGTACTGGGTATGTCCTGTAGCAGCCAACTAGAACAGTACAAGAGTATAGAGTTATCACATAATAGTATTTCCATTGGCATGTTTTTTTCTAATCTTAGATTCATTCTTGGATTGTATTCCCTTTTTTCAAACTCTAGAGATATAAAGTATAGTCATTTTTCGTATGTAACATAAAATTTCCATATATACTGTATTTCATTAACATATAATAATTTTACAAAACATATCAAAATTCTCTAAGGAATCATTTTAGATAGGACAAAAGTTATAGAAAGCTTTTGTTTTCAAAAATTAATAACTAAAATGACCTATTTCCAATTATCAACAAAGTGTGCTTACAAAATCTGAAGAGAGACAGGAAGCGCAACTTTATTTGTAACTGAAGAAACTTTGGAAACGGTGAAATGCTTCAATCGAGCTTTTACGTCCTTTGGAATTCGTTCAGAAAAGATGATGTAATGGGCTAATAGCATTCTACTAATACAAAATTCATCGTATTAACAATTAATTCCTTTAATATATAATTAATATCACAATTTGTTTTCTATTTTTTTTAACGTTTTTAAGATGATATTTAAACAATTACGTACCTCTAGTATTATATCCTGTTTATCTGGGTCATTTTCCAAACAACATAGGTTTGTGCTACTCGCTGTAGTGGTAATGTAATCATAAAGAGTGGTCCTTAGGTCCTTGACACTTAAACCACACGTTATACAGATTGCCCTGCTTCCTAAGCTCACCCTGTTGTTGACTTGTGCGTCTGTGCTAGTAGTGTTCGACGGTAAGATAACATCAGTCCAAAGTAATCCAGACCTACGAGCGATAAATACACACATCACGATGAGAGTAAGTACAATGTTTGCCACAAAGCTCGTTTTGAGGATGTTTTTCATTCGTTTATAAGCAATAACAGTTTGTGTATGACGAGTTTCATCAGTCTCCATTCTTCTAATACTAATGAACAACGTTAATCGTCTGTTTTAACATTTGTACACAGAAAAATATCATTTCTTAGTATTGAAAATTGTAGGTATTCCCATAAAGTTCTAAAATTAGTTTTTAGTAGTATAAAGGGAGATAAATATGACGTCAGTAGCCTTTTCTATTTTGTATACATGCAATGTTATGCATTATTGTAAGATATTAGACCGTGAACAAATACGTTTGACTATAACGTTGAAGATTTGATACAGAAATAATGGCACTTGTTTCAATATTGTTTGAATATTGCTGGTCGCCGGATATTTTTTAGAGTGAAAGATCAATCCTGAAAGCCATTGAATGTGTATACAGGCGAAAAACATTTGTAACAGATCTAAATATAAAACCCAATCTTTAAAACATTCCACAAACGTTGTTGCATTGTCTACAATAAAGCAAAACGTGACAAACATAAAGAAAAAAAATGTATTTGCAGGAATGTCAGCCAATTTTGTCATGTTTGATGCGAGAAATTCCAAAAATAATTATAACAACGGATCAGCCAATCAAGGAAACAATGGCGAAAGACGGCAGTAAATTTGAAAACTATTTTTTATCTGTTGAGGTACTGTTTTTATTTGGTTATTTGCAAATAAGACTCCTTTATTGTCAATCGAAACATTGACGGTTGTTAGAGAAGCTGCTGATCAGGGATATATTTTAGACACGTCTTTAACGGCACGATATCTCACCCCGACACGATTGAGAAATCGTGCCGTAACACATTTCATTGATTTACTGACCTGTTATGCAAATGTATATTACTTAATATAGCTATCTGCTTTAATATAAGTAATCAATAAAAACAACCATTCCATATTAGGAATTCATTGGTCCTTTAATGCATTCTGCATCTAAAACTATGACTTTATTTTTATTAACTGGTGCATTGTCAAATAGAAACGCCATTTCGATCTACCAAGCCCGCTATCGGTTCTAATAACGCGAGGGAATGTCAAATCCAGCTTCAATGGCTTGTCAAAAAGTATATATCAACACAAAATAATAATGATGCGAAGGACGACATATGTGATTGAAGACAACGTGTTGATCTTATAATTGTGGCTGACATGGAAAGATGAACGTTACATAAATACATGTGATTTCACCTTAAACATTTGTTACTAGATACAGTAAAACAACCATGAATTGCACGGCATCATACAGTGTTTGATCAGTGATGCTAGATGCCGGACAGTCGGACATCTAACTACGGTTGAAACAGACGGACACGAGTACATCCTCAACAACAACACGCGATGTTTAATAAATCAATGATGTTACGGTTTCATCTGGTTTCTCATATAACTTAACACACATACTGAAAACCATCTTCGTTTTCCTTATTGTATTGTAAGCCGTTATAAACAATATCATTGTGTAGTGAGACACTGTAACACATAACAAAATAACAATGATTACCAATAGTACTATGATAATCAACATCTCAATCAATCCTGGTGATCTGACTCAAGGTGCCACTCTAGACATGCTGATTTAATATGGATGGTTTTGAGACGAGGTCACGCTACAGACTGAAACACTTAGATGTACAACCAACTAACACTTATTTCATATAGTCCTGTTTAGCATAAATTAAACCTGACATGAAGAAACTTCCACCCATGTTGCTTTTTCTTGATCCTTTCTGTTTATCTCCGGGCCCGGTATCCTATCGTGTTCATATCCTAATCGGGACGATCTTACACCTGGAAACGTAGGTATGTTCCATCGGCTCTTATCTAGAATGAGTGACGTAAAAGAGAATGTGCGAAAGCTGTCTATTCTTTGAAATAATGGAGTCGTCCCAAGTACATGACCTTTTTTGGACAGGTATAGGTAACTTTTGATCTAGTTTGCTATATATAGCGAATATATTAGTATTTCATGTGATGTTGTTTTCTACATCACAAATGAGTGTCTGAATCTCGAGTGCCCAAATCGTAGGCAAACATTGGGTAGACAACATGCCAGATTCTGATCTAATTTTTATAACACTGTCGACTTTCGTGGAAAAATAAACCCAAGGTTCTGATACTGATAGTGGAATCAGTGATGTGTTAGACATGCACGGAAATATCCGCTTACAATCAAATTTTGAATTGGAAAACAGTCTTTTTTCGGACATATGCTCCGCCGACGATGAAAATCTTGTCCAATGCTCTATGGATATGGAAATAATGCATACTAGTTTCGAGCTCTTTTAAGATTTGAAGATCTGCAGAATATGGTAGAAAATAGAAAATTTACAAAAAAGGAGAACAAGACACGTTGGGCAACGTATTCCTGTCCAATTCTCTCGCAATGTCAGATTCGCTCCTGAATGAAGCGTTTAGTTTTTTCATTGGTGAGATCAGAAATGAAGCCGGCTCTGAATACAGACCCAATACAATTTATGAAGTTGTCGTATCTATCCAACGCCTTTTCAGGACAAATGGACGATTCATAAGTTTTCATGATGACCACATGTTCTCAGGAATGAAAGCTGTGTTTCCAAAATGAAGGAAGTATCCAAGAAGGGTAACAGACTACAGCGACGTCAGGCGGATATAATTAGCAAGGAGCAGAAAAAGGAGACAAAATATCTTGGGGTCGGATACTCCTCAATGTTTTTTTTTGACACTATGCTATTTCTTTCTGGTTTACATTTTGCCCTTCGAGCTGGTGAGGAACACCGCAATTTACGATTTGGATTACATTCGCAAATTTCAGTTAAAATGAAGAGTATTCCGAAGATGTGTCAAAACAAATCGTGGTGGTATCTTGAATCGAAAAGTTGACTCCAAGAATTACCAGGGCCTATGAAAACCAAATTAGCCAGAGAGGTGCATTGTCAATCTCTACACGAAATATGTTTAAGCCATGTGAGTGTAAAACCATCTCCCCCTCCCGCCCGCTGCCCTTCCCTCCCCTTTCCTCCCCTTCCCACCCTGGGGCAACTACTGTACACACTTTAGCCAGATACTAGATACCCACCTGAATCTATTTATAGGCAAATCATCTGTTGTGAATATTATCTCAATTAAGACCAATGCAATGCTATCTTAAAACCCTCTTCCCCACCTCCAGGGCACATGCTATCTTGTTAGACTAATGCAAATAAAAATCTGTAGTGATGTACATGTAAATCAAACTGTACACTAATATGGAAATAAAAAATATATGCATTTTTTCATTAATTTCAGACCTGACAACTGTAAAACAGATGCATTTTAACTGAGACCAAGAGCATATCCCATTGGAGATGTTTGGGACCAGGATATACCAGTTGGAGTCCACATACTTCCACAAACAGTGAAACGCCTCTGTGAACAAGCCGGCTTCCAAGGTTTCTTAACAAACCACTTTCTCCGCGCTACAGAGGCAACGCGTCTTTATAGTGCTGGAATTGATGAACAGTTGATCGCAGAGAAAACCGGCCATCGCTCAAATGCTGTTTGAGCGTACACACGCACCAGTGATCAACAACAGGCAGACATCAGTAAAATTTTCAGTGGAGGCAACAGTGTAAAAATTCCCAGAAAGGAAAGTGAAAATAGGGGGAGCACGGAAATAAATATCGAATCTGGCACTTTCAAAATAAATGTGAAATATTGAAAATTGGTGATTATGTGTATGTCACAATTCTGTTGGATTATGTATATGTAACTCTGCTGAATTAATTACCGCTATTCTATGGGATCAATAAAGATGTAGTGCTTATGTTTGTTGTTTGGATTATTTTTTCATCAGTACAAAATCCAACTGTCCATTATTAACAGCAATAATGGACAGTTTGTCCTAATAATGGACTCCTAACAATCCAGTATTAGATATAATGGACTGTACAAACAATAGATGATGTCATAGTTACGTAAATAAACACTTAATCACCTGTAAGCAAATAGAGTCCAAACGTTATCATGGAAATTACAACCTCTAGACGACCAGTCTTGATAGGAAAATTAGAAACAGTCTATATTTAGAAATTATGATGTCATGTTTTCATATCAGAACCAGTTTATTTATACAATGATGTAGCCTTTGTATGCATAGATATGGAACGTATTTTGACTGCAGAAGTATTTCAAACTCGGTCAATAGTTATTTGCTTTTGTTGTTAAACATACGTGGACTCCAACTACCTGCTGTTTTGAACAATATGAATGAAACATCACTACTTAAGTACTAGTATTTAAACAAACAAAGTCGATTATGAAATGTTCAGATGCAACCAAACATTTGGTCATTTGAAGCGGAAGATATTGAAAATTCAGGTCCTGATCAGTATATGGGTACGGCCATTTAAAAACGTTAATTGGTGACGTCAGAATGTCCTACAAGAACATCGTGTGAGCCCCAAACGCTTATTTTATTTGTATGAATATATATCTGTTCATAATCTTACTTTTCTGAAACATCAAATAAATCGATTAGATAGGAGTAACTCCTATCTAATCGATTTATTTGATGTTTCGGAAAAGTAAGATTTGAAATTTAAAAAAAATATAATTAAAATTGTGGAGGTTAAAACTGTGAGGTTTTAATACTGACAGCACGTGCGGCAATATTCTCACTAATAAAATATCGTACACGTCGATCTACTGAATCACAAAACCTATAATGGTGTGTATAGTATTGCTTGTGCTCTCTTGTGTATATATATATTGATAAAAAGTCAATTACAGCACTACCAATTAAATAATTACTGTACAAAAAGATTTGATAATAAAATTAAGTTATATATGTACAAAAATGAAAAACCAAACACAAGAATATTCTGAATGTTTTAATCAATATTTCCATTAGGTAAATACAGTAGCTGAATTTTTGTTTAAGTGTCAGTACAATGTGTCAAAAAAAGTCCATAAGTTTGAACATCCCAAAGTAGTTGGAATAAGGTAATCTGTCAATATGTTTGAAAGTGACATTTTTTCCGGCTACAATCGAAACTGCCTCAGTTTCAATGGAGTCCCTCATGTTCATAGAGACCACACCACAAAGAAAGCTCGTCTGTCTTTTCGCAGTGTTCTCGCCTCCTAACTTTGACATCCACAGTAGTGGTCTGTCGTTACTGTTGATGAAGGATGAGCTGTGGTGGTAGACATTGTGAATCCCTATCGGCGCCTGTCTGTCAGTAGCTTCATTGCCGAAGTCAAAGGTATATACGGAGTAGACAAAGTACATGCCTGCTCCAGAAAAGTCTGGAATGGTCAGCCGTCGTCCAAGATCGGTCAATGTCAGATTTCGTAAAAATGACGTTTTACAGCCCTGCTCTCTCCATGTTATACCTTAAAATAAAGGTGAAAATTAGAAAAGATACCCCTTCAAAAATAACTTAATATGACAAATTAATCAATGTACAAGTGTACAAATCTAACACAATCAATCCTTTTCTCAGTTAACATCATGGAATCAAATAGAGCATAGTTTATGGAAATGTTAACATAATAAGATATGCTTGAAAAATTGACATTCCTGTCATTTTCAAATATGAAGTCTTGTTATTCATTGTGTTTATAAAGAATCTGTACCATTAGGGCAAGGAATCTGACAGCTTACCTTAAAGTTAGAGCAAGGAATCTGACAGCTTACCCTTTAATACCATAAGAGAAAGGAATCTGTAAACTCAACTTCACCGTTAGAGTTAGGGATATAATAGCTTACCTTTACCATTAAAGTTAGGGATATGATAACTTATCCTTACCATTAGTGAAAGGATTGAGGTACAGGTGGGCAGCATGATTTCTTTCTCTCCACCATTGCAGTTTCCCTGGATTCACTAAGAAACATAAAAAAAGGTTCTTTATCCTTAACATATGCATTCCTGTGTTTCAACATTCACAAATATTTAAATATAGCTATCATTCAATACTGGAAAATATATTATATTGCTTTAACGTGTCATTGTACCTTATATGAAGTCTGTATTATGTAACCTCATCATAAAGGGGCCGCGGTGGCCAAATGGTTAAGGCGTCTGACATTCTGCTTCTACTAGGCCTCCACCTCTGGGTCGCGGATTCGAGGCCTACGTGTGGTAGTCGCCAGGTAAAAGAACTTTTTCATTTTTGGGTAGACCTAGCACGGAGAAAGGAGACAGAGACCTAGACAAGCAAATACAGGGGTAATTGTATATGGAACGTAGCGTATAGGGTATGTCAGAGTGTGTACACGCACATGCACGTGACTACAGGTAAGCGAACAGGTAACATCATATGTAGACACATTATACATTTCGTGGCTCACTGCGGCAAGTATATGCAACCGTGGTAATTGATATGTCAATGTCTCCACTAAGGAACTCACTCGGGACCTCTGTTGTATTATTCTGACGCCGAATGAGTTAAAAGAAATTCCCCGAGTCGGGTGTTAAATTCATTTTCGGTAAAAATGCCACAAATCCCCAAAAAGGTGTAAAAGTAATCCTTAATACAGATGAAATGAATTTTTTTGAGATGTTCCCTGAATTTACTACTCTAAGTGTCCGTCTCTGACTCCGTGCTAGGTCTACCTCAAAATGAGAAATGTCTACTGGCAATGGGTCGGTGTTTTTTCTCAGGGAACTCCGGCTTTCCGCCATTACCAAAACCTGGCATATCCCTAAATGACCATAGCTGTTAATAGGACTTAAAACACAAACAAACCAAAAGTAACCTTATCAACATGAATACACGTGATGTGCTCGCGTGTATTAACTACCACATATTGTATCAAACACAGAATGTTTATTCGTTTTTACGTGTGATAACTATAATCTTTATAGGTTAATTATACTGTTTTGGGACGTACTGTTATTTTGATCGTAGTGCCCATTACGTCTGTTGGTCTCTTCGAGCTGCAATGAAAGATAGAAAAAATCATATATCCCAAGGATCAATATTGAATGATAAACACATTTCATACCAATAACGCAATTGTATTATTTCTGTGTTTTTCATATATAATAATCACAGCAAATTGGTTTACCTCCAGTATCAGATTCTGAAGGGTATCATCCCGTCGCAGACAGCACAGTGTGTTGTTTTTCTTTGTCTGTAGTATGAATTCATACAAGGTATCGTTCGTTTTCGTTCCCTTGAAGTCACAAGGCAGACATAGTTGGCCGCCAGTGTCTTTCAGTGCACCAGTTTTAGGTGACGGGATGTCAGTTGTTGAGAACTCTCGGTCACGTAACGTCTGACGAATGATAAACAGTATAATGAGGACAGTCACTAACACAATGTTTACAACAACACTTATAAAAAATGCGTGTTTCAATATTCCTCGTTTGGTTGTTGTTTCACAGCATAGTTTACCCATGTTTTTGTTTTGTTTATGTTATCAATGGCATTGACCCAGTCAGAGCGCGTCGCACTTCTAGATAGAACACTGCTTTACACAAACTAATATACACCTAACTACTGGTTTTCCCACGTTTTAGCCTCTGAGTTGAAGGTTTTCCCAGTAGAATACAATGCAGTGTATATTTACATAGTTTCTAGGTATCGCAAAATATAAACGTTTTATGTGTATCTCGAGATTTTTTTTAGTACAAATGCGTCAGCATTTCAGGTGTATTACCTATCTATATTTAGATACATGTATAACTCCAGTTATTTCCATAAAACAAAGTCATTAATCGTATTTAGTACATAACATGATAATTTCTAGGATAGCTATTTGATAACTACCCTTGTTTTATTTGGTATAGTTCGCATCCACCCTTGACGGGAACTATATCTGGAGACCGGCACTATACCTTTTTTCGGACCGCTGACTCTGCGGGAAAAGTAGCGTGACGCTAAGAGTTGCACCCCTTCTCCTAGGGAGCGCTGTACATATTCTACTTTCAGTTCATTGTTGTCGTCTGCCAAAATGGCTTCGTGATTCGGGACCGGGAATGCCGATTGCTTCGCAGAGGCTCAGCAATGCATAAAGAAGAAGTAGCGACACAATTTGCCGTCGAAGTCCTTAAAGACTTCCTACTGGAAAAGGGATCCGTATTTGACCTAGCGGTGATTTAATCCAGTGAATTGAACGGTGTTGTGGAGGATTTGTACTAAATCTATTATGACCCTTTCCCTCGGGAACAGTTCTCGTATAGTGTTGTCTGTGTAGTTATAGTGCACTCGACTAACGGCTCGGGCACTATACCACCCCAGACAACACTATAAGAGAACAGTTCCCTCAGAAAAGGGACATAATAGAATAACAGTGTTACTAACGATACACTATCTATTCAAGGTTTCAATATTAAACGTCATGTTTATTGCAACTACACAGTGCTAATTTCAACAATTATCAATGATTCGCTATAATTTGTAAACCTAGATGTAATATTTTCTTCTATGGTTAACAGACCTAATTCTAACTATTTTCTTAATTCTATTTACTTATTCCGGGCAACCAATCAAAGTTAATCGTGATAGTACACGTGATACAATTTGAATTACTCGCCAATTTGAATAAGATGGGAATTGCTTATGTACCGAAAGAGGCGTTGAATTTGGTTTTAGTTTTGGCGCAAATATTGTACATGCAGATCGTTTATGTAATCTTCAGTAATTGAAATAGGATGTCAATATTTTGCCGTTAACATTTTTAGGTAAAGTACTACGTAAATTGTTAGTTGAAGACCAAAATGGCCTATTGTAATAATATTTGTTTGGTAATATGGTGAGAAAGATAGTTATCTAGTGTGTTGAATCGAATTACCATGATTAACTCCGAGGTCAAAATTGTTTTCGAATTGTTTGTACAAAAAAGTGTAGAATCCAAGGACTGACACATTTTCCAAACGGGGTCGCAAAACCCAATTTTTAATATGACAAGAGTAAAGATAATATAAATCACCAGTTCATATAAATATATTTTGTTAACATAAATTCGTATTGTAAAAAAGGGCGACGATTTATTCTCAATAATCATTAGATCTAGAAGTTTTCCTGAATTTAAATTGTTATCGGGTTCCTTACTTATCCAAAGAAATTCATCTGCCAAAATATTCTAAATATTAGTACATAATCATTATTACAATGTTGTAATATAGCTTTGGATATGGGTCTTAAACTCCAAATCTTGTTTTTTTTTTATTCTGGCACAGCTCTTAACACTCAACAAGTGCAATTGTTGCATATAGCACTCTCTCTTTCTTTATGAAAATAACATTAAGATAAATGACCTTCACGTTCTCCATCAAATTCCAAGAAATAATTTAACACTGAACCTTAAAGGTCGTCTGTGTGAAAAAAGAAATGGTGATCAAAAGACGACAAGATCTATAGTTGTTCCCCCTATAACTCGTACTCGTCCATCTCTAGGTACAGAAACAGCTATGTCAGAAGTAGATAGTTAGATATTGTTCATCAGTAATATTGAAACGACCCAACAAAAAGCTTCATTGTTTAACACGTATGTACTGACTTTTATGGCGATAAACTCCCGAGGGGATTAAATTTCGTTAAAACGAAAGCAAAATTGTTATATCATTATTGTCAATATCCCAAGTAGGTCAGGCTTTGTGCTTTTGTATGAATGAGAATGAACAAGATTGTCGTGCTCGGTATATATTTTTTGATTGATTCTAAATAATAACTTATGCCCCACAGCAAAGTATAAACATTCTAAAAGTATATCCAGGCAATCTTTGTGTAACAACGCGTCATATTTCAGGAGTATTATCATTATCATTCAACATTAATCGTATATTCAAGGTGTCAATATTAAACGTCATGTATATTATTTTATGGTAAACTGACCTAATTCTAACCATTTTCTTAGTTTTAGTCACTTTATCCAAATCAAGCAATCAAAGTTAACCCTGATAGTACAAGTGATACGACTTTTGTTACTTGCATATTAGAATAGGATGGAAAATGCATATGTACCAAACCTGGCGTTTGCCTTAAGTTTTTGTGCAAATATTGTACATGTTATTCATTTATCAAATCTTCAGTAATTGAAATGTGATGTAAATATTTTGCCGTCAATATATTGAGATAAAGGACGATTAAATTTGTTAATTGAAGACCAAAATGGCATATGGTATTGATATTTGATTGGTAGTATGCTGGGCAAAATGGTTATTAAGTGTGTTGAATCGAATGACCTTTATCTACTTCAAGGTCACACTTTTGTTGACGCTTTAGGATACGATATATATCAAATTGGTTGTACGAAAAATGTGTAAAATTTACTGACTGACACATTATCCAAACGGAGGCGCAAAACACTATTCTTAATCTGACTAGAGTAAAGATAAATAAATATATTTTGTTAACGTATTTTAGAAAAAAGGACGACAAGTTATTCTCAATAAACATAAGATTTGCGGCTAAAAAGAGCACCAAAAGTTCCAGATTAATTACGGTAAAGATACAAATATAAGTGACATTAAACAAATACCTCAACTGTGTTGTATCTAACGCTATTTCCACAATTAGAAAATCGTTTTATAGTTCAGTTGTCGCTGGACTTAACTTTTCAGATAATTGATGCGGCAATGAAAATTATTGAGGTAAAGTAATAATGGTTAACAAATCAAATGAAACAACTTAATCTTTGACGTATATTTAATAATTGTTCGATGTATTATAGAAAAAAAATTGAACTTATCATTAAAACTCATGTTGAATTCACCAAAGGTGTGCATTGAAATTAAAGTCTAGTTTGAAAGTAATTAAATTTACATTGGGCGATCTAGCATTTTCTTTGTTTATGACATTTGCATAAAGATAACCAACCTTCACGTTCGCCATCAAATTCCAAGATACATTTCCAAACTGGATCATAAAGGTCGATGTGTATGTAGCAACAATTGCGATCCAACGTAGGCATATCAAAGTAGCGATGATCACCACAAGTGTAATAATGTGTCCCTTGTGAATTCGAAATTTTCTACTTGTAAGTACAGGAACAGCCATGTCAACTGTATACATTGTTCTTAAACTATGGCAATGTTAAAATTATCCTACCAGAAATGCAGGTAGTACGAAGCCCGTTAACTGACATGCTACACACTTATTTTATTTCGTTTTATCGAATTGTTATTTCGTTTTTTCGAATTATTATTTCGTTAAAACGAATTATTATTTCGTTTTATCGAATTATTATTTCGTTTTATCGAATTATTATTTCGTTAAAACGAATTATTATTTCGTTTTTTCGAA